GGAAACTTGGCAAGGCCACATTGTGTTGTAGTCGGTTTAGGCCGTTACAAAAAAGGACCAGAGACTACGTGGCTTACGAAAAATGGACCTGTATTTTGCACAGTGACGGAGGCTGAAAGTCTGAGAGCAGGGTGCCAGTGAGGTCGGGTTCTGGTGAGGCTCTCTTCTGGCTGCAGGCGGCGGACTCCTCACTGCACCCTCCCGTGGCAGAGAGGAGGTAGCAAGCTCTCGTGACCCTCCTAAGGACACTAACCCCATTCACTGAGGGCTCCACTCTCATGACCTCCTCTGAACCTAACTACCTCCTCTAAACCCACCTCCTAATTATACTATCACATGCCTGGGGAAGGGTTTCAATGTGGGAATGTTTTTTTTAAATGTATTTTGTTTATTATGCTGTTACAGTGGTCCCATTTTTTTCTGCCCCTTATTCCCCTCCACCCTGTACCCCACCTCCCACCAGCATTCCCCTGCCTTAGTTCACGTCCATGGGCCGTACATGGAAGTTCTTTGGCTTCTCCATTTCCCATACTATTTTTTAACCTCCTCTATTTTGTACCTACCATTTATGCTTCTTATTCCCTGTATCTTTTCCCCCATTCTTCCCCCTCCCCCTCCCCACTGATAACCTTCCATGTGATCTCCATTTCTGTGATTCTGTTCCGGTTCTAGTCGTTTGCTTAGTTCATGTTTTTGTTTTTTTAGGTTCAGTAGTTGATGGTGAGTTTGTTGTCATTTTACTGTTCATACTTTTGATCATCTTCTTTTTCTAAGTCTGTAGATACTATACATTTCATATAATAAGGACTGGGTGATGATGAACTCCTTTAACTTGACCTTACCTAAGAAGCACTTTATCTGTCCTTCCATTCTAAATGATATTTTTGCTGGATAGAGCAATCTTGGATGTAGGTCCTTGCCTTTCATGACTTCGAATAATTCTTTCCAGCCCCTTCTTGCCTGCAAGGTTTCTTCTGAGAAATCATCTGATAGTATTATCAATATAAAAATTTGGAGGGGTCACAAACATTTAACCCATGACATGTGGCTATTGACTGATGGTGGGATTTAAACTCAAGATTTAACTGGCTGGAAAGCCTGTTTTTCTTACTCTGTACCACACTGTATGATCCCTACTGAGTACTTCTGTTCATTCATCAAACAGTCACTGATCATCTGCTGGGGTTTTGTGCTGTGCTGGGCACGCACTAGGGATGTAGACACAAATGAGAGAGAGTTCCTGCACTCAAGTGTCATAGGCTCGAGTGGGCTGTCTAGAGTTCTACTGTATCTCCCAGAAGGCAGTGAGGTTATAACGCACAGAGACCCTCTCATCCCCCTCAACACTTTAGATTTTCTGAAATGGAGATCTGCCCTACTCCTCCTTAAAGGACTTTGCCGGCTGCCAGCAGGACGGGCCATTGCCGTCGTGAAAAGCACCCGCTGACCCACTGTCCTCAGCTGACGTTGGTACTACTGCACACAGTTGGATTTCACTTACATTTGGATCCTTAATTGTCACTGTAAAAATTTTTCAGAGATCACCCTATCACGACAAGTTCACAGGACAAGTTACTAAGGTAGGCGCCTGCCCATCACGCATGGGCAATGCAGCTGAAGGCGGCAGCAGTTGCCAAGTCCCCGAGTGCTCACACCACCATCAGAGCCGAGAGCAGGACGGCACATGCGTGGTGAGGGGCTGCAGAGCAGGTGGAAAACAGATCGCCCATCGACAGCTACCAGGTGACTTCCTAGAGAGTGTGAAACTCCCAATGATCTTATTCAGCTCAAAAATATCAACTACCAATTTAAACAAATAGATAAAAATTCCAATATCCTTCCTTATGCCTCAAAATAATGTTTTAAACCATGTCTAACATGATTTTCAATGTCAGTGCTCTGGTTGTTTCCTTTAGAATGGTTCCTAGAATTTGTAACTATTCTGTTTTGCTTCCAGAATGGGACTATATTGTCATTGCCGTCTCCCTAGTAACTGGCAAAGTGCCTACAGCAGGGTGTGCCCACGCCCAGTCGTTCTGGAGTCAGAGCAGGGGTTGGGGGAAGCAGTCCGTTTCTGAGAAGCTATATACCTACCCACGGACCCAATGATTTGGAATTACCTTTCTTTAGTGTCTGGGAGAAGCTTAGATTCTAAACCTTGAGTCCCAAGTCTAAACACAGCCTTCCTCCTGCCCCTCCTTAGCAGGGGGCGTCTGGGCAGGCGGTGTAGCCAAGGACCAGTCTTGAAGGCATAATGACTACCTCCTCTGGGAACTTCAGGCAACATTCTACTTATTTCATCAATGAGAACACCCAACTCCCACCCTCCTCCCCTTTGCCTGTTATTTTGAAAATAAGCAGTTTCCCTGCTGCATTCAGTGGTTCAGTGATATGTGCTGTCTCGCTGGCTCAGCCTTCAACTCGTTCACTCATGCCTCCTTCTGGGTCTGAAGTGCTACCTCCCAGGCAACTTCGGTCACCAACTACTGAAACCCAGACTGGCTTGGAAGGCTCAGATGAAGGCTACTCCTTCAAAGAGCTCTTCTTCATCACCTTGCTAGATGAGGTCTCTCTCCCTGGTCTCATAGTTGGTTTGTATGAATCGCATGGTGGCTTGCCACAAACCATCCTGCATTGAAGTCACTCATGGGTATGTTTGATCTCAGTCTAGCTAAGGCTCCTGTGGGGACTGGCTGTTTCTCATAGATCCCCATTTGCTTGATACACCTGGCTCCGTCCTCTTTGCCAAGCACTATCCCAGGGACACAGGCAACATTCTTCCAAGGTCTGGTTAGCTCACGAACATAAAGGGGCATCAGGGGGTAGCAGGCACTGTTCAGGACAGTCTGGATGACAGTTCCGGGGTTGCATTCTGCCTGTTCCTACAATGTCCAGTCCGGACCCTAGGATGTCTTCCACGGCCCTGGACAACAAGCCGGGTACAGATATCCTACACAAACTATGGCAAAAAGAGAACATGAAGTTCCTGAACACATCAAGGATGACAACAGTGTGTTTTAAATCTAAGTCTGGAACAAGTGCTAGAGGCTGTGGTGCAATGCCATGATAGCAGCCGACAAACAAAGGCAAACGCTACCTTCTCCACTGGGGACAACAGTCTCCAAATTAAGGGTGAAGACAAAAAGCAGGTTAGTATTTGACGTCTCAGGCTGATGAGGGGTAGGGGACATTGCTTACGATGAGTCCAGGTGAAATACACTCCGGCACACACTGTGGGTGTGACTGCTGCACTGCGGTTGGAACCCAGGAAGTAACGACCAACTGGAGACCAGAGACTGAACGCACAGGCCTGTTTTCCAAAGGGGAAATAAAGCAGAATGCAGAAACGCCACAATGGTGAGTTTAATGTGGAGCTCTGGCCAGATCTGGAATACAGATGGTGAACATTTTGACTCCTAACAACTGCTGGTTTCTTTTCAACTCCTGATTCAACAAAGAAAGTGGTCATACGAAACTAACTTCCCTCCCTTTCTGATAGGATTACTAGAGCAACTAGCCAATGAAATGGCAGTAAAACAAAGCTGACACATAGTTTAGAGGTGAACTGAGCAGAACATAATCTTGAAGGTAACAGCTGCCACTTCAATAGTTAGCTCTGTGCTAGACTTGGTTTAAGGGCTTTTTATATCTGTTATCTACTTAATACCCCTAACAACCCCATAATGTACGCCTTAACATTATTCTCAAGGTCATCCAGGTAGGATTCCCACCAGGCAATGTGGTCCCAGATCCTGTTTTTCCCATGAATGGCAAGACCGATAAAGAGGGGAAATAGGGATACCCCTCTCCATGCGGGTGAGTGAACTTGCCCTCTCAGTTCCACTCAGGAGGGAACTGTGGACACACATCTCACGTCACTTTGCCCTCTCACCCACTCACTTCTCTGGAGGGAGGAGGGCGGCGTCTGACTGCCAAGACTGGGAGATGCCACCAAGCACGCTTTCTCGGCATGGTCAGGTCATCAGGGCGGAATTTGGCAATACAAGGGGAGCTTGTAGTTTAAGTGGGTAAATTCCAGGGCTGACAGTCACAACATCTGAGTCACCAGTTCCTCACCAGACCAGCACCAGAACAGAGACAGGCCATACGCCACTGCTGTGGCTAGTGCCAGCCCTGCAATGCTTATGTAATTAGGGTTGTTACTGGCCTGGGTAGGGAGCCTGATGGTGAGGTTAAGCTTCAACAATCTCCTCAGTAAGAGATGGGCTATTTTGATTTCCCTTAGTTCAACTTCTATATCCTGTTTTTTCAATTTGTTCTGGACTTAAAGAAGGGAAAGACAGGCTATGATTAATCATCACTACCAAAGCCCAATAGTCCTTTGTACATTTCAGTGAATATCCCAAATACAAAACGCAGTTTCTGATGACATTTTAAAGGCGATAATGACAAACTTGAAAGGCATCAGAAGCCAGGATCGAGCCTATACACTAGGACTGTGTGGTGTGTAGTCGCTGGAAGGAAATAGGGTGACTTAGATCATCACTCCCACCACGGACACGGATGAACCTGAGAGTCTGCAACGCGGTGGCTGGGAGGGGCCAGGATCTGGGACAGGAAAGGGTCTTCAGCAAAGAGAGTGCCAGAGCTTTGGGACCTCATTACCGTAGAGGGTCAGCAAACCAGGTGTTCTGCCTGGGTCTCTGCATTAAAAATGTGTGATCCTCTGGTCTAGATTCCAAAAAGGAACTCTTAACAGCCCGGGTGTGGGGAGAGGGAGCAGGGAGAGAAGGAAGAAGGGAGAAAGGAGTGTTCCTGGAACCAGAACCTTCTGTGGAGGAGAGGAAAGGGCTGGGGTGGAACCGCCGCGACGCGCACTGTGTGGAGGTCCCTTCCTCAGGTGAGCTGAGCAGCAACGCCGCCTTTCACACCTGGTTATTCACGTCTACGTGGTGAGTCCCTAGAAGGCGAAGACGATGAAGTTTTCTCTAGTCTTTTGTAATTTGCAGCACGAAAACAATGTAAAATGCAAGCACAGGTAATCAAAAATGTTTTAATGATTAATTTTTGGACATTACTTGACAGTGTGGGTATATCCAGATGAGCTAAAGCACACTTTGACAGCACACTATTGAATGTTTAGTTTCTGTATTGAAATATGTAAAGACTTTCACAAACCAGTACCTAGGAAGACATACATTTACAAATATACACATTCTAGATTTGATAAGGTAAATGTAAACAGATGCTGCGACTCCTTCCAAACAGAAAACCCACAAGACTAGTAAGAGAACCAACTGGCTCCCTATAATGTGAATGTGCAAAATCAAAGCATGATATTTACATAAATACCAAACCAACAGATTAGTTTATACATTGTCAATGACTTTCTAAGATGTGTCACGAGTGGTTCGACGAATATTTCCTCCCCCAGGGGAGAAGGTATTTAGAGACTAAATTCTGACACCCCGAAATGACACGCACATTAGTCCTTGTCGATCTGACCACTACCTCACGGGGGTGAGACATGATTTCATAAGTAGTCTACTATTTTTAACCAAGCGATTCTAAACAAATTTTTATATTCTAAGCGGAAGAAAGTACAGGTGCTATTAGATTTACATTACACAAATAATCTCTATCCAATTTCCCAGTTCTCTTATGCTGTCGCTATCTGTTTAATTTTACCTTAATTTTTTTAAAGGAAGGTTCTTTTTCCTTCTTTACTGATTTTGGTAAGCTAGGCACATTTTAAAAGGAAGTCTGCGTCCAAACAGATAGCAGTACAGAAATCATTCCACATTTGGCCCCCGCAACCACTGCTCACCCTGGCGCTCCGTCCGACAGGAGACGGTCCTCCCTCTCGGAGGGAAGGAGGAAACTGTGTCTCCTCTCGCTCAGGCGTGGAGAGCAAAATGGGCTTTGTTCCCGTATAAAAACACTTAGTGCTTCAGAAATTAAAAATGGCCTACTCATCCTACACACTTCCTACCATCTTGAAGATAAAGAATATATATTTAAGTTTCAAGACCACTTTAGAGCCCCCCCACCCCTCCTTTTTACATTATTAATAGTGGCACTCAAAATAAAAAAATAATATCTGTTAAAAAGTTAAACTGACTGTTCCACTAGATTGGAGCCTGCCTGATTTAAAGCCAATATTACAAAACCGAAGGTGCCATTTCTGGTTTCACATGTACAAGTCACCTGAAATTATGTGTCACACGCTAGTTTCAAAAATCATGGTCTTTCATTTTTCTAATCAGAGCTTTTGGAAACAAATAAAACATTGAAATATACCCTAATTTAAACTAAGAAGCTTTGGGCCCTGCTTTTTTAAATTTTAAGGCATGTGTGTTTCTCTACTGTAACATTGTATAAATTTACAATCACATGCATGATCTACAGTAAAAAAAAAAGTTTGGATTACAGTGTTTGTATATTGTGAATCACAATTCAGCACCTATCATGTTAAAACTAATAAGGCAACAGCAGTGTTGTATATACTACAAGAACACGCCCTCTGCACGGTAGTGCAGGGGCTGGTGAGAGCCCAGAAATGTGGAGAATCTTACACCTACTTGTCTAATCGGCATACATTTTCTAGGGGTTTTGAACTGATGAAAGAGACCCTACGTGAACCACACTGTTGTAGGCCAGACTAGGTACAGCAGCTGCTAACGCGTATCGGGCACAACTTGTACTGTGCTTACAATCAGGCGACACGGTTTGGAGGTTGCTCTTCGACCTCAATCCTTCCGCTGCTTCCTCGGCTTCGTGCTGTTTCCCAGGGAGGAAAAGCTGTTGGTGTGTCCGTTCGCGGCAGTCACGGAGCCGTTCTGGTGGTCCCTCAGGCGTTCTTTCCTCCGGGAGGCCCCCTTCTTATTGTAAGTCTGAAACACACAAGAACAGGTAGCAGCGCGGGGCCGGGCGGGGGCCGTGTCTCCAGCAGGGCCCAGGTCTCCTCTCAGCACCCAGTGCCAGCCAGAAACAGCTTCTGTAGTGGACCAGCATAAAAGCTTGTTGTGTTTTTGTGGGTTTTTTTGGCCACTGGCTTAATCACTCTTCTGCCTTCTGAGGATTAGCCTCAAGTAAATTCCCTGGGACACATGCTACAACATAAAACTATTTAAAAATTAAACAGAAAATTCAACTTATATTTTATTGCCGTACCCTTTCAGTCTGTGGATGGCAGAGGACAGGGGTTATGTGGCCCCATTACTGTCTCTCTGTAGCACCTCTCCCGGAACTCACGGTCCTTGTCTCCAGGTGTGCTCGTTACTCTAGCAGCTACTGCGGCCCTTACGCACCAAGTGCTATGCCGCTGTGAGCAGTTCAGTAAGTATTACTGCACCTATTTTGGGTCCTGTCCTTTAAGCTCCCTTGCAGCTGGTGAATGTCCCAAAGTGCAGCATAAACTATAAGCCCAGCAGTGTACAGACTCGACTCAAGCATGCTGTGCCCAGGTAGGTATGTGGGAGGAAAGTTATAGGCGGGAACAGGGAACGTGGCTGAGCCCCCAGGGGGCCCCCTGGTTGCTGGACACAACCAAGCTTTACTGCCCCAGCATCTGTGGCCTCTGTCCTTGCTCCTGACCTCCTGCGCCTACCCTGGAACCAGACACTGCCCACGGGAGCAGGAACACACATTATCCAGGGCTGATGTGCGGCAGGGGAATCAGCAGTGGCCACAAGGTGGTCAGGCTCCACCAGTGGTAATCTGCCTTAAATGGACCCTTCTGTGAGCAAAAACCTGCATTACATCATGCACTTGGAAATGAACTGAGCCTCCAAACTCGAGGAGTGGATGTGCAAGAAAATGGGACAAGAGGGCAGATTTCTATCTATAGCTGACAGATCATGATGGAAATTTCTTTGGACATTTAATTTAGCCATGAGGTTCAGAACAGCTGGGCTGGCGAGTCTTGACTGAAAATCACCTACCATGAGTCTGTCTGCCGCAGGCCTTGAGGGGGTAATACTGGAACCTGCTGAGGAGTGTTGCTTTCCCAAGTAAACCCCAAGTCTCCCTTGCAAAGATCTAGAACTCAGGAGGACTGGGACAGGCTTAGCATCGTCTACATCAGCCCTAACACTCCCCTCCCAAAGGCAGGGCCGCCTGTCACTGTGGCTAAATTATTAGTGCCCAGTGCCCGGCACGCAGCAGGGCCTCGACAGGTCCCCCTGTGGACAGATGGACTGAGGAGGGATAAAGCCCCAAGGCCCAACTGCCACGGGAGTGAGACTTACCTGGATGTAGAAGTTTGTGAAGAGAATAATCAGAGAAATCATGTATCCAATTTGGAAGTATAACCAACCGAGAGGGAAGGAACACGGCCAGACGACGCCGCAGCTGGTCTGCACGATGGTCAGCACAAACTGCAGCTGGTGGGGGAGAGGGGCGAGGTTGAGCCGTGCGGTGACCCCCGGCAGGCGAGGGGCCGTGCCGCAGGGCTCTCCACCCTGCACCCCCCTTGTGAACTGCACTTACTAACTTTTCTGTAGGTGCCACAAACAGGAAGCACAGGCTAAATTTATCCCAAACAATTATCTCTTTTTGTATTTGTCTTATACACATTCCTCCTCCCTTTCAAGCTACTTAAACCACCTTTCATGAAATTCAGGGAATAGTTTACAATACTAGTTTAACAATACTGTCTTGTATATTTGAAATTTGCTCAGAATAGATCTTAAAAACCAACCCTGTAACTATGTGAGGTGATGGACGTGTTAACTAAATTTCCTGTGGCAATCATTTCATAATGTGTACATATTATTAAATTATGCCGTCTGGCTTAAACCGATGCAATGTCATTATGTCAGTTACGTCCCAATCAAGCTGAAGGCAAAAAGAAAATGCTAAAAAAGAAAAAACCAAACTCAAAACACACACATAAACCTCAGGGACACACAGTACAGAGAAAGAAAACCAAGGTTTATTTATTTTGTAACCAAAAACTTAAAAAAAAAATTTTACGGAGGAAAAAATGATGTGGGAACCAGTGACGTCACTGCAGTGTCCAATCCCACTGGGCATGAGCTGTCCCTTATCTGTGCCCCCTCTTAACTTGGTGAAGGCTGACAAGTAGATTTAAACTCTAACCAAGATGTAATGTGCAGCCGACAGAATATTTCTGATGAGTGAATCTTGAAAAGCACACGGAAGCACTTGGGAAAACAAGGCAAGGGTGCGGGGAGGGCGGCGGAGGGCTGGGCTCTGCCCCGTGGATTTGGGGCCCAGCTGCCAGTGTTACTACGTAAAGAACAGTTTTTTCCTTTTTCTTCTCTTTTTCAAGGCGAGTACTCTGGGCTGAGTAATAACTGGGAGTGCTGTTTAAAACACATCCAGGTAAACTGGGCGTGATCTTCTGCCTCAAAGAACAGAGCCCAACAGGAGACCAACTTCCTCAGTCTGTTCTTTTGCATGCGGCTTCTCCAGAGCCACGGCTGTGTGGTGTCAACCAATCTCACCGCTTCCCCTCGAGTGCAGCGAGGAGGTCAAAGAACAATCCCCCTCACGGCAGGTGAGAAAAATTTAACAAGGACCGTGTGGCAACTGCCGCATGGCAGCTGGCAGCAAGTGGTCACGAAGTGACAAACATACAGGAGCTCTGGTCTCCTCTGCTTCGTTTTCCGGGTTGTGAGTTTTAAATACGGGAATATCGCAATTGACTTGGAGGCATCTGAATCAGCGTGGCTTCTTTAGAAAACTGTTAACACGGCAAGGCCAGGACTAAGTGTTTAATGTCGGCTGGGCCTGGCCTGTCGCTTCAGCGTCCTGTCTACAGAATGGGGACGAGAACATGAAAGGCGGGTATCGGGACAGGTCATGTAAAACTGCTTACTTAGCATGTGTGTCCAACACAGTAAACTCAACAAACGTCAGCATTTATCATTAGCAGTAATGCTGAGTTTCTGGAAAACTTCATGAGGGGAGAGGAGCAGGGATCTATAATACACTGACGACGAGGGACAGCTTAAGAAAAGGAGGGTGAGAAGGAACCACCAGGCACACAGCTGCTGGCCGGCCCTGGCCCGGCGAGCCCTGGGAGGGGGGCTCCGTGTGGAGCACAGCAAGGGCCACTCTCCCCGAGGGTGCGCCTCACACGGGGGCGGAGAGGCCACCCGGCACCTGCCTGAGCGCATGTCCTGGCTGCCCAACAAGTTACAAGCACCTTGGACTGATGCCCTTCTGAACCTGGTAAAAGTTTTCACTTTAGACTTGGACTGTAATTAGAAGACACACAGACAGACAGACAGACAGACAGACAGACACACATGTGCTCTGTGCACAAACGAAGAACAAAGGACTGAACTTGAAGTTAGAAAATCAGATTCTGGTCCTCGTTCTACAGCTTGACCAGCTGCATGACCACAGGTATAATTTATCCACTGATTAAAATTAAAATTCCCTGCTCTGCCCACTTCATGGAGTTTTAATTGGATCAAATGAGAAAGACTGGGAAAGGCACACTGTAGATGCTATTAAACAACAATAAAGCCAGGAAGGCAGTAAGGGCACCCCCAGGAAGAGCTCTGTGTACCCCCAGCAGCGAGAACTAGGTAAAGAGACCACGGCACTCACCAGCTGCCCCTGAGTGATGTACTTCTTCCACCAGAGGTATGGACGCATGGAAGGGACAGAAGACAGACCATAGTAGGAGTACATGAGGACGTGGATGAAGCTGTTAAGTGTGGCACCAAAATAAGCTGCAGGAACAGAGGATTTGGAGAGGAGGATACATCAGTTGTCTATACATAATAGGCAAAATAAACAATCAATAAAACCCAAGATTCTTTCTAAATCTGAAAGTCAGATGATTCTGAACAGGAGCTGGTAAATATCACCGCCGCAAGTGCTACCTGGATGTAAATCGGAATTCGGCTTCCACTCGGACAGGCAGCACAAGGACGCTTTCAGCCCAGGGCCAGCGGCAGCTTCCAGGTGGGCATCTGACACAGAGGCCACGAAAGCACCCGCCCACCTCCGACACCTGAAGGCTTTGCCGCCAGAGCCTCACCCACTTCCAGAAGCAGCTGCTTTTCTTTACAAGCCCAGGACCTCACCCTGCCGTGCTGAGGGCATGGGGAAGACAGCGATGGGCACCATGTGCAAAGCTGGCCATCTCCGCACCTCGACAGAGGTCTGGAGAGGCCTCTGAAGACCTCTCCCTGGGACAGCAGTACTGAGGCCATATACTCCTACTGCCAACACAGCTCAGAATCCAGTTCCTTAGAAATGAAGGACCGGCCTTTTATCACATGGTTTTTAGTTTTCAGTAGGACCACCATTTCTCTTTTTTTTAGACTCTCTGTCCTCCTCTCCCACTGCAGGCAACACACAAAGCCGCCCGGCTTTTCCACACGTGGCTGGAGGTGAGCAAGGCTGGGGCCAGGGAATGAGTTTGTACCCCTGGCAGTGTCAGTAACTGGCTATGACAGTAACTGGCTATGTGACCTTGGACAAGTCATATCCATTCTGTTTGTTTCTCATGGGCCAGGTTAAAACCTGTCGTCCTGCAAGTTCTCTGAAAACACTGGAGTTCTTACAGCACTCTTCAAAGGTAAGGAGGTGCCGTGTCTCTGGTCCACGGCCACGAGGTGTGAGGGTAAGAAAAAGAAACACCAGTGAGGCGGCCCCTCTGCGGTCCCGGCCCTCCTACCAGTGCGGCTTTCTCTTGCACTGAAAGGGGCCGCGACTGGCAAGTCCTTCCTGGCGCTGAAGTCCTGTGTGTAAGTCCTGGTGGGCCCCGTGAGCCAAGGGCAGTGCTATCCTACGGGTTGAAAATATGAGAACAGACTCACAGGTTCTCAAGTTTGTCGGTGATGGATGGCAGGAATTTTGATCAGACATCTGTGTGAACTACCAAGCCGAACCTGAAGGTGATAACTTACTGATCTCTAACAATTGTATGAAAGCTCAGACTGTAAGTTTCCAAAGCCACCCACATCCTGCTAAATATGTTTCATGGACAGTGAGGGTCACGGTATTAGAACACGTGTGGACTTCCCTGATGCACAGCTTGGCTAAAGCTGCATTTCATAACTGGCCTCGTTCTCTGGTGCGACGCCATCTTCCTGATCTGCCTGTCAAACGTCTCCCAAACTGCCCGAGAACACTGCCCCTATTTCTTAATATGCCCCAGGCTGGAATCTATTATCTCCCTCGCCTTGCCAAAAGCAGTACAGGACGTTCGCTGGACCAGGAAAAGGTTCTGTCAGCTTACTGAGTGCAGAAGTCACAGAAACTATCATTAGAAGCATCTCGGACAAAAAGTTCAATGCTGGACCCAGAAATCCACAGAAATGGCACCTTTTCTAAAAGCCTTAGTTTCAATTCAGCCTCTCTGCTCACACCTGTCCCCCTCCCCGGCCCCGTGACACTTACAGTGGCCACAGGGGACCCAGTTCATCACAAACCACCAGATGTTCAGCATGGAGGCATGGTGGTAGACGTGCAGCACCGTGACCTGATGGTTGTTCTTACGCAGGATGAAGAAGAAGGTGTCCATGAACTCTATAAGTTTGGAGAAGTAGTACCACCAGAGGACACGGATAATCTAAGAGGAAAGAACACTGATGTTTCTCTAGAGCATCGCCGCTGCCCCCTTCACCACCACCCCGGAAGCCCGGTATTAGTGTGAAAAAGCCCGAGCTCCCCGCCGGCCCCTGAAGGCCTTTGGCCATCAGAAGTGCTGGTCCCTCTGCAAGCAGCTTTAACCAAAGAACATGACTGGGGTCCAGAGAGGTTTGGAATGACAATAGGGACAGTTTTAAAAGGGTCAATGACACCCTTCAAGACTCTAACAGGGAGCTCAAAGTTAGCAGGGCCGTCAGTAGAGAAAGGCCCCCCCGAAAGGCACTTCTGATTTCAGGGGCTGGCGTGGGGCAGGTGACAGGCCAGGAGGCAAAGAAAAGGAACGGAACTTTCAGGGTCAGGCCCCTGCCCGATCGATGTGTCGGACAGGCGCTCTCAGGAAAGGGCCGCCCGGCTGCGCTGCACCGGGGACTGGAAGTCAGGCTCCGAGGATGCTCTGAAGGACGGTCCGAAGGACGGTACCGCGTTTAGGGCATTATCCTTGTGACCCCGTCCGCGTAAATGATGCGTGAGCACTGACAAATGGGTGCATTCTGTCTCCCTGGAAACTGTAACTAGGACTTACTTTTGCAAAGAAAACTTTAGTTTTCATTTTATGTCTTTTCTTGTTGTTTAAATTTCATATTATGTGTACATACTGGTTTTTAAGATTCTTTTAAAAATGTCAGCAGGAATGACCTGGACCGTGAGGCTGTGAGTCATTTTGTCTTTTGTGCAATTTCTTTATTTAAAAAGCCATTTAAAATAGAGACAGTACCTTCATATCCGCTTCTCCCGCGCTGCGCGTGCCCTGACAGAAGAAGTTGTACTTGCCTTCCCACACTCCTGTCACTAACTGAACACAGAAACAAACACACGGAAACAAAAAAAGAAACAGGGAAAAAGCCAATTACCAATACTTATCAGAACCACATCGATGAAAGTTCATCAGTTTCAGAATCATTGAAAATGGACCCTGGGCTGTGCAGAACAGCTCATTCTAGAGGCAACACAGCTCCAGCAGCAAAGGTGGCGGGGAAATATGGGACTCTAACTCTCTGACTGTGTAACTCCTGGCTGCCCATAGAGCGGGAATGCCACCCAAGATAAATGCCATGCCCTGGAAGGCGGTTAATGAATAATACACAGAGTGTGAAAATTACCTGATGTTTTTATTTGTTAACTCAGGCGTGCACTGTTCTTTCTGGTGGTCTTTGTGACTACCCACCATATGGTTTTACTATTAAACCCCTATAAAGAGAGACCTTATCCCCAGGGAGGTGTGGATTTTTCCTGGCATCAAAGTGCAGCTGCTTTGCCTCTATATGTCTAAGTTTCTACCATTAAAGCTCTTATAAATGTGTACAACAACATGTGTCAGTTCTTCAGAACTGATCTTGAATATAGATTTTTGTGGCTTTCCCCTACTAGGCTGACTGAGGTGAGTTTGCTCCGAGCAACAAAAAACAAACCAAACAAACAAAAAACAAACAAACAAAAAAAACATGATAGGAAAGTGAATAAATTTAAGTTGAAATGATTTGAGCCTCAATTTCACAAGGGATGGACCTGGGGTCACTCCGGGCTGCAGTTTTCAGAGACGCTTCTTTACTGAGCTTCCTCCAGAATCCTCTATTCTGAGGCCACTGCAAGCGGCTCCCAGTCCTGCTGCCAGTGGCTTCAGGCTAGATCACCAGCAGGCTTTCCCTTGGCCACAGATTCTCAAATTGGGGAGAGCACCAGACTCAGCTCAGGGCACATTCAATCACAGGCGGCTGGCGGGAGTTTCTGATCCAGCAGCAGTAGGCTGCCTGGGGTGGGAGCCCTAACAATCTCTGTTTGTAACAAGGGCCTGCACTCAGAAACCACTGCTGCAAGCCTGGCTACAATTCAGTCCAGCCTCATCTTCTTCACTGGTTCCCGTTGCTGGGCCATCCCCGGATTCACGGACTAGACTAGACCACTGCAGTCTGAGGAGGCCGCACCCACTCCTCAGAATTTACCTGCAGCAGAGCAGGCACTGTGGAGTCACAGAAAGGACCCCAGAGTCAGGGCGCAAGCTCTAGGTTACGAACCTGCAGTATCAGCAACTCACTGTGGGGCCTCACTTTCCTCGTGCGCACAACAGGATGCCTGGCCTAGATGAGGCGCACAGCCCGTCCTGACAGTCGGAGGGAAGCTTTGATTTGACCACCCTGTGCCCGCCCACTATCTATGCTCTAGTCAAACTCCTTCGAGTGTTACTCTTTTAAACCATAGCTGTTTCCCCCCGAAGCCTAGGGCAACCTTGAATTTTCCTGGGGATGGTCCTGCTGGTGACCAACTGGCACTAGATGGGGAGAAATCTGTGGAGGCCTGCCTTGTGCCTGATCTCATCCTGGGGTCCAACCCAAGGCCTGGCCCTGGTTCTCAGAGCGTGTTCCCCAGTCCAGATGCATTAGCATCACATGGGAACTTACAAGACAGGCAAATTCTTCAGGCCATTCCAGACCTTCAGACTGAAAACTCTGGGGATGGACCATCGAGGCAGGGTCTCCGAGTCCTGGACAGACCCTTTGAGAATCCAATGCTGTGGTTTACACTGTGATCCTGACCAAGGAGCATCAGCATCACCCAGAAAGTTGTCAGAATACAAAATCGAGAGCCCTACCCTACACTTTACTGAGCCAGAAATCTCTGGGTGTGAGACCAGCGGTGCGGTAACAGGCTGTTGTGTGGTAACAGGCTGGTTGCTTTCCAGGTGATGTGATGCCTTCACAGTTGGAGAATCATAAGCTGAAAGCTGTGGTTCCCAAAACTGCCAATGCCTGACCTCCCCCCAGACCATTAAACCAGAAGTTTGAGGAGCCTTTTACAAAGCTCTCAAGGTAATTCTGATGTGTAACTAGGAGTGAAAGCTACTGGTTTCAAGTTCCTTTTCTTCAGGCAAGAAATGATTTGCCTACCAGTGCCTTAAGAAAGATGTAACTGAGAACATAGGACCCCAGAGCCTCCCTCATATCCGTCCTTGAACAGAGTTTAGCTGGATGAGCAGCTCGGACACCCGCAGGGAATGAAGGATTATAAGGGTCTAAAGACACTGGCAAACCTCCACCCAGTCTGACCTCAGAAATAAATACCCTGGCAGTGGGTGTAGCTACTGAATACCCTACACCCTGCTTGCAATCTGACTGTTCTATCAATTTCCTTTTTGTTGTTTCCCTCTGCTTTGTCATCTTCTATACATAAAAAAGCATCAAGGTCGGTTTCCATGGACAAAGATCAGCGCAGAGATTCAGAGTGCACCTGCGGGGAGGCATCACTCTGGGATGAAAAGCACCTGGGATTAGGAAGAGGAAGATGGGTGCCAAGGACAGTCAGGCAACCTTCTCCATCTAGGCAGCCCAGGACCTGTTTTCACTGTGAAAGACGAGGGTGGGCCCTAGTCGGGTGGCTCAGCTGGCTGGAGCATCACGCCGCACACCAAAAGGCTGCCGCTCAGATGTCTGGTCAAGGCACAGACCTGGGCTGCAGACCTGACCCCCGGTCTGTGCGTGCACAGGAGGAAACTGATGGATATTTCTTTCTCTTTCTTTTCTCTCCTCCCCTCTCTCCCCTTCCCTCCCCCTTCCTCTCTCTAAAATCAGTAAATATATCCTGGGGGGGGGGGGATTAAAAATGAGGTTGGAATAAATATCTCTAAAGGTTTGGTTCTAATTTTCTACAATGTCTCTGTTGAGATTTCCTGATCCAAACTTTGAAAGACCAGAACCCAAAAGACAATTTATGAGACGGTATATTATCTTTTCGGTCTTACACAACTCTCCACAGTTATGGCCAGATAAGCATACCATGTGCCAATCTATATATAAGTAGTTCCAGGAATCGAGATAAAAAGCCTGAGTCCAAAGTGCACTTGGGAGAAGTCCTGCAAGGAAGGATACAAAGCAGAAGCCACACTGAAGTTGGGGAATGAGCTGGTCCCACACCCATGTGTCGCAGATAAAAATCGGGAGGGATATCTTGGCAGCAGAGATCCCTTCTTGAGGAATGAGGGGTCTAGCCCCACACCAGGTCCCCCAACCCAGGGTTCCAGTGCTAGGAAGATAAGTCCCTACAACTTCTGGCTATAAAACCAGCATGGATTGTAGCTGAGAGAGACAGAGGTCTTCTAGAGTCCCGGGCAGTTCCTCATTAAGGGCCTGCACAGGGACTTACTTGGACTCACTCGTTCAGAGCTCCAGCACAGGGACAGCAACTCAAAAGGCATCAGGAACATATGGGGAGGAACTGAAGGCATCAGAGCGAGGGCTGTAGGGGCAACTTTCTCCCAGGCAGAAGCACTAGCAGAGCCCATTGTTCCTTTGGTGAGTCCTCCCCCTAAAGAACCAGCAGGTGGGCCCCCTATCTGAGACTCCATCAACCTGGCTCACACTGTCCACCCCACCCTGACGATTCCCTGAGATCCCTCCCCACCCAAGCTGTTTCCGGTGGCTTTTCCATATGAACAGCCTGTCTTAGCTCATGCTTCAGACTTTCCTACAGTCTCTCAAACAAGCAGCATCTGGCTTCAGTGTACCCCATACTACTCACTGAGGGGCCCCAGGACCAGCACTAGTGGCAGCCAACCTGTGTTCACAGCTTGGCCTCTACTGGGCACTTCTAAGCCCAGCACATGTAGCAGCTACCCACAGGTCATTCTGTAGCTCATGCCACATGGCCCTGGGCAGAACACAGCCAGCAGCTGAACCTGGCCTGCACCACCCAGAGGCCCCAGGCGTGTGCCCAGTGGACAGCTACAGACCATGTCTAAGACCTGACCCAACCACCTCCACCAGCAATACACTCAAGGTGCTGACTCGGCAGGCACCAGACCACCTGCCCCCCTGACTGAAATAGTTCCTGTTTGGTGGAGGGGACCCCTGCACAGCTAATCCTCCACAGTGGTCACACAACCAGTCCTTGCAGCCAATAGGCTGGGAATAAATCCCTCCCACTGACGTGCCAACAGCAATCAAGTCTCAACTATAACAGGAGGGTGAACACAACGCACGTGCGGAAGGCGCACCCAGGGTGCCCAGCTCGGGTGAATGGGGAAGCTGTGCCACTGGATCCCACAGGACGTCTTCTACATAAGGCTGTTCTCCCAAGCCCGGAAGACACAGTAGCTCTACCTAATACATAGAAAACACACACATGGAGGCAGCCAGAATGAGGAGACAAAGAAACATGCAAAATTCCAGAAAAACAATTAAACAAAATGAAGGCAATCACTCTACCGGATGCAGAATTGAAAACACTACTTATAAGGATGCTCGATGAACTTAGGGGAAGAGCAGATGAACTTAAAACGTCAACAAAGAGGGGAAACATAAAAACAGAACTAGAAGACATAAAAAAGAACAAGTAAGTGAAAAATGCAGAGTACATTACAGTATATCACCAGTGGAGCAGATGAACCAGAGGATCAAATCAGAGATTGGAAAGATAAGGAAGCAGAGAACAGCAAATCAGAACAGCAAAAAGAAAAACAAATCCAAAAAAAAGTGAGGATAGTGTAAGGCGCCTCTGGGACAACTTCAAGTGTACCAACATTTGCATCATACAGGTGCCTACAAGGGAACTCCCGTAAGACTCAGCTGATTTCTCAACAGAAACTCTGCAGGCCAGAAGACATTGGCTAGAAATATTCAAAGTGACAAAAAAGGAAGGACCTACAACCAAGATTGCTCTACCCAGCAAAGCTATCATTAGAATCAAAGGACATAGAAAGAGCTCCCCAGACAAGAAAAAGCTAAAGGAGTTCATCACTACCAAACAGGTATTACATGAAATGTCTTCCTTAAAAAGAATCAAATGGGAAAAAAGATCAAATAT